GTTGTTTGAGGGGGTCAACAAGCATGTGGAAAGGACAATCTAGTAGATACGATGTACTTGGACTTTGAGAAAGCCTTTGACAAGGTCCCACACTAAAAGCTCGTAAGCAGTCATGGGATAAGAGGAAGTTCCTCTCATGGATCAGTAACTGGTTAAAAGATAGGAAACAAAGGTTAGGAATAAATGGTCAGTTTTCACAATGGACAGAAGTAAATAATGGGTCCCCCCTTGAATCTGGGACCTGTACTGCTTAACATATTCATAAGTAACCTGGAAAAAAGGGTAAGCAGTGAGCTGGCAAAGTTTGTGGACAATACAAAATTACTCAAAATAGTTCAGTCCAAAGCTGAGTGTGAAGAGTTACAAAGGGATCTCATAAAATTGGGTGACGGGGTGACAAAATGGCAGATGAAATTCAGTGTAGATAAGTGCAAAGTAACACACCCTGAAAAAAATTATCTCAACTATACATACAGACTGATGGGGTCTAAATTAGCCATTACCAATCTGGAAAGCAAGCTCGGAGTCTTTGCAGTCCCAAAAGCAAAAAGAACGTTAGGAACCATTAGGAAAGAAGACAGAAAATATCATGATGCCACTATATAAATCCACAATAAACCTACAGTTTGAATACTGTGTGTTGTTCTGGTTGCCCCATCTCAAAAAAATATATATTAGAATTGGAAGAGGTGCAGAGAAGGGCTCTGAAAACGATTAGGGGTACGGAACAATTTCCCCACAAGGAGAGATTAGAAAGATTGGGACTGCTCAGCGTACAAAAGGAAAACTTAGGGGAGGTATGATAAAGGTCTATAAAATCATGAACGGTGTGGAGAAAGTCAATGTAATGGTGTGGATGAAAGTCAATTGCAAAATGAAATGATTCATTTAAGGGTGATCAGTCCCTAAATGAGAATGGTCATAATCCGTTCTCTAACAGTACCTTGACGGTAGATGGAGCTTAATCTAAAATTAGCATGCTGCTGTTTTTATAATCAATTATAACAACTCCCCTAAATTAACATTAAAGCCACCTTTTAGCATAATTAAATATTTTCTACTTTCTCATTAGCTATTTACCATTAAACATCACCTCATTTAGCATCTGTGGAAATATAGATAGCTATCAAAATAGATAGCATTTTCCAAAACATTAACAATCAATAACTATCAATATAGATAGCATTTTCCAAAACATTAACAATTTATCGAAAACACTTGTAAAAACCAGTAAGGACCAAAACACGTTTACAACATAACCTGGGGTTATGTATGTCCTAATTTATCTTCGACTTGCCTCTGAATTGTGTCACTTCACTTTATTCATATTTTACCAGGCCTCCCTTGACAATTGTCAAAGAAATAGATTTTGGGGCCTACTTACATGTCAACAATTCTATATAAACATAAGCAAATATCCTCTCTGTAGGCTACAGATAATGAGAGCCATATGAGCACCTAGACAAAGAGAGTGAGATAGCGGTTTAAAGGTAGGTGTCATACAGAAAGATACCACAACCCCAGGCCTCCACTAATAGCCTCCGATAATTACATGCATTGAACAGCTGAGCAACAGAGCATATTCTACAGAGGTGCTGAAGAAAATTAGGAGAATGTGCAAAAAATCAATGTAAACAAACAATCACTCTTTTAAAGTTCCCAAATGCGTGCTAGGCATTTAGCAGAGAAATATAAATAATATTTAGGTTTTACATATTGGCATCTTTTTGATGCGCTGACTGGTTTTTTTTTTTTTTTTATTGATTTGCGATTCTTCACGCCACAAGCTGGATAAATAAATATGGCTCTTTTCTTTCTAAAAAACTGGATTTCAGGAAATGTGACCCTTTGGCAAACCGTATACATACAAACCGTGATCGGAGCAATATTGCCTGTGAATTGTACAGACAGAGAGCCTTTGATGAAATAGCCACAAGATGTGAAAGTTCCTTTACTGTTCTGCTTTTTATGCCCCTTCAATGCAATGTGGCAGTGGCCTCTCACCAGCAGAGCTTTATATGTCTATGGAAAGTTCCCTTTCCCTCCTCCCCCACTCGCGATCGTGAAGAAAAAAATACAATGAGATTAGCTTTCTGCTCATCCAGCAACTAAGTGTGCAGCCCACAAAATGGCGCACTGATGAGCTGAGCATAAAATTGGTCCTAGCCACAAAATTCAGATCCGGCTGCAAAGTCTGGGGAATGTTTGGATCCAGGGTTTTGGCTTGGCGCCAGCTGCAGTATATTTCTATAGTGCCTTCCATCCCCAGGAGCCCACCAAAGTGCTTAAAAAATGAACACGATATCCATACTCTAAATAAGGATCCTATTTATTTAAATGGGAACTGCTGGAGGCTCAGAACCCTTTTAAAAGCCACCTGACAGAGGCACTAATTCAGTATAGCGCTTAAACACATACTTAAGTCAACCCTTTAATTTTAAGCATGTGCCTAAACCCCCTTGATTTCATGTGTCTGTATAACTGACTGCAGTGGGACTTGCTGAATTAGAGCTTTGTTCAATAGCCTATATCAGGATTTAGGAATCTGACTTTAAGTTCCTATCTGTGAAAATCTTGACCTTCAATTATTGGAGATCTCCCTTAGGTTGTACTATAGTAGTTGTAGATCCTTTATCCTCTTTAATATAATGTCTCCTAGTGCAAAGTAGCTCCGCACAGGGCCCAGTGTCTATACAGCACAGTCAAGCCCTAAATAATCACCAGTAAGTACAAGAAATGACTTACCATTTGTTTTTGAATAGCTGAAATTTAATATTCTCATTTGAGGGTTTAGCGATAGTCCATTGATAAGGGGAACACCACACCAGAGCTCCCAAGGGTGACTCAGCCACCAGTGGATCATATTCCAGCTGGATGGCAACTTTTGTCTCTCTCTGTTGCTGTTCCATTATTAAAAATCTTGAAGCAAAACAGGGATGTTCTATGAATCTGCCTCTTAGGGAACTCTCTAAATAAATTTACTGAATAGGCTTTTGTGCCAGATTTATTTCCAAGTTTTATCTCCCAGAGAGAGTCCAAGTTCTTCGTTTCCACTTTTTCCTCAATAAGGGTCAGGAAGAGTGGCAGAGAGCTGGTATCAATTAGCAACATTGGCCACCAAAGTGTAGGCAGATAAATTCCTCCAGAGGAGTGGTGGTGTGCTCAGACATGGTTCTAACAGAATGTATCATTTTCAAACAGAATGAGAGACTGAACTCTTGTTTTGTTTTTTGTTTGTGTTTGGTGGAAGGTGAATGAAGTGATGGCGCCTGTCTTGGTTAAGTCTAGAATGTACCTGATAAGTAGCTCTTAGAGGCTGTTACTTGAAGCTTTTTCTCCCCCTTCTGCAGTGTGGATTGTCCCACAAAGGGAGTTGGAGGGAAGATAAATTAGGTTTGTCATGTTTATCACTTTTGTAGGACAACCACAAGGAAATGAAGACGGGACAGATTCTGATGAGAACTAGCCAGATTACAGGCCAGGAACATCAGAGAGAAGAGAACCTCCTGGAGATACAACCAATTCACAGGCCCCACAAGCACACATCCTTTACTCCTTCCACATGCTAACCCTCCTGTGGACAGTCATCTGCAATTATATCTCACAAGCACTGGACAACCCCTTACTCCTTCTGTTAGGCTCTGCCTGCTCAGTCTTGATAAGGATGGAGGGGGACCATCCAGTCTTAAAGAATGTATCCTCACAGCTCTTAGTTATACATTAGGAAGGTACGGCTCCACATCTTCCCCCAGTCTGAGAGTCAAAATCAAATTTAATATCTACCTTCAAAACTGAAAAAATCACCCTCTCTAGAATAAGCAGGGTGCATTTGTTCTCCCAGTCCCAGAAGATGCTGCAAGGCATTTTCATGTCACCAAAGCCCCTACATGATCCCTTGTTACTGCATGTTCTCACCTCACAGCCTCATCGGTCTTCACTTGGAAGCAGGCTGAGAGAGAAAGGGAGTTCCTTCTCCTTTTCTCTCACTTCCTTTCTTTTCTGTCTCTCACTATTCCTGCCTTTCGCTCTTCCTCCTCCTCCACAGTTTCCAATCCAGACAACTCATTGAGATGTTAGTTGAATAGGGTTAACTTGCATCCCAGCACAATTATACACTCCACTTATAGAAACTGTATTGACTTCCCAGATAATAAAAACTTTAGGTCAAACTGAGACTCTAAAATGTTTCCTTTGAAACTCCCCTGCCTATTGCTGCTGGCTTATATCAACTAGTGTCTTTCTAGAGATTTTGTCCAATATGCTCGTCCCATATGCGTCAACAGAGTGCCCTTGTTGCCAAGAAGGCTAAAGGCATATTGGGCTGCATTAGTAGGAGCATTGCCAGCAGATCGAGGGAAGAGATTATTCCCCTCTATTCGGCACTGGTGAGGCCACATCTGGAGTATTGCGTCCAGTTTTGGGGCCCCCACTACAGAAAGAACATGGATAAATTAGAGAGAGTCCAGCAGAGGGCAACGAAAATGATTAGGGGGATGGGGCACATGACTTATGAGGAGAGGCTGAGGGAACTGAGCTTCTTTAGTCTGCAGAAGAGAAAAGCGAGGGGCAATTTGATAGCAGCCTTCAACTATCTGAAGGGGGGCTCCAAAGAGGATGGAGTTCAGCTGTCCTCAGTGGTGGCAGATGACAGAACAAGGAGCAATGGTCTCAAGTTGCAGTGGGGGAGGTCTAGGTTGTATATTAGGAAACACTATTTCACTAGGAGGGTGGTGAAGTACTGGAATGGGTTACCTAGGGAGGTGGTGGAGGAATCTCCATCCTTAGAGGTTTTTAAGGCCTTGCTGGGATGATTTAGTTGGATTTGGTCCTGCTTTGAGCAGGGGGTTGGACTAGATGGCCTCCTGAGGTCTTTTCCAACCCTAATCTTCTATGATTCTATTATATCATTTGGGGGAGAGGGGGAAGGGGGGGAAACACCACCAAAATCTCCCCCCCAACAAAACTGTGTCTTAATAAACACACTAGTAAATACACTTTACCTGAGTACAGAAAATGGAGTTCCTCCGAATGTTGATGACCATGGACACTTTCAGACTATGGTGTATACATTACAGCTCTCAGCCTCCTTAAGCAATCCAGCCATCACTGACTCAATCAGTCAAAAGAAACTGCTGCCCAGTAGCACTCTAAAAACAAAACACAGGCATTTCAAGTTAGGGCAAATACGAAACTCCAAGGCAACTGATGGATTCTAATATCTGATATATCTTCTAATATTCTTTCCCGATAGGGAAATTAACTTCATAATCAAATTTAATCCCCATCTCTCAGGAATAATGGTGTTGCACAGATATAACTGAGGGCACCATTTGGGCAGCAAAATCTTTATTGCTGGAGATGATACACAAGCTAGGAAGAACCCAGCTTGACTTTCAGTCCTAAAGGTGAATTTTGAGAGTTTTAGAAAAAACAGCTTTTAATTCGTGAACTGGTCATATTTAATGTGGAATCAGTGAGACACAATAAACTTTGGACCCCACAACGGCACAGTTCAGAATAGAACTGCATTTTAAGGTCAAATAGAGAGAAGGATGGTTTCATGGTTAAGACACTGGCCTAAGGCTCAGGACAGAGATCCAAGTTCAGTGCTTGACTCTGGCACAGATTCTTTGTGTGACCTTGGGCAAGTCAGTTAGCCTCTCTGTGCCCTGCTTCCCCAGCTGTACACAGGGTGCAATCACATTGCTAAATCACCCAGGTCTTGTGAGGAGAAAGTTAGTTTGTTAAGATACTAAAGTGACGGAGGGCACTTCTGAGCCAAATCTGTGCTACACTGAGATAGCAGGAGAGGCATGTGCTTTGTGAATGATTTTTGAGCCAACCCTACCATTCCTCTTCATGGTAGCCAAGCCCCGTGACAGGAGCTGGGTCCAGAAAAACCACTTTCCAGGAGAGGAAAGTTGCCTTGAGCTTCAGAACAACTCCACTTCCTTCTGCCGAATGTGCTGAGTTGCCCGAAGTCTCTATCCTGCCCAACCAGTGACATGGGTAGATCACAGACTCTACCTGGGAATGGCCCTCACCTCTGTTGGCATGACTTAGAAAGACAAGTAGTATCCAAATAGCTTATCACCACTCTTCCATAGGAGTGGAAGGTGTCCAGCACTTAGCAAGAGTAGGTCTCAACGAGGACCATATTTATTTTTACACTGGTTTTTTACAACTCTTTGTATTTTTAATTTTTGCAAGGAGGAGGGTAAATACCATCAGTACTGATGGAGAACTTTGTCCCACAGAGGAATGGAAGAGGAACATACGCTAGAGAAGGATTCATGTTCAAATGAATCCCCTATTGCGAGTTGACAGGTTTCAGAGTAGCAGCCGTGTTAGTCTGTATCCGCAAAAAGAAGAGGAGGACTTGTGGCACCTTAGAGACTAACCAATTTATTTGAGCATAAGCTTTCGTGAGCTACAGCTCACTTCATCGTGAGTTAAGTTGTGAGGTAAGTTTTTCTTTTAGCGATGAATCAGCATAATAATCCATCTGTAACATTAGATGTGTCTGCTTGTATTACAGCAAAGGGCCATCTGCCCGTTGGAATAAACGTTCAAAATGCTGCTGGGACCACAGCGATGGTCTCTTAATGAAAGGTGGTCAGCAATTAGCCCTTCAAGGAATCATACCCATGGGGTTCTGTACCATGGATGGTCTCCAAACCTGCACTCAACAAGTGTTGGATATTTTTTTTTAACTGTCTGTGGCAGGCTCTCTGTGTGGGGGGTTGTTTTTTTTAGGGGGTGGGGAGATAAATATGTTCCAATTCCTGCAACAGCAGGAGCCAAGTCAAGTTGTAATCAACATATGGCCATTGTAAGCTGGGTAGCCATGAATTAGAAGGGCAAACTGCTCATCGTTTCCAGAATGCCCCTCTGAATCACAGCCACCTGCTTAGGAGGCCAGGCTGCAGCAAAGCAACTGGCCACGTGATTCCATCTGTTTAATCAGTGTGCTATAGATTTGGGGAAGCTGACTAACTTTGCCTCTATCTATTTTCTTTTCTCTTTTCTTTTCCCCTCTAATTGGAGTTTTCTTTATGCCAAGATCCTCAGCCGAAAGGGCGGACATCACAGAGACAATGGAGCACAACTAGGCCAGAGCTGGAGTTCGTTAAACTGAAAACGGCTTTCTTCCCTTGCTAAGGTTGAACTGCTTAAAGGGAACAGATGAAGCAAGTATCCAGTTGCATCATGGAAGTGGGGGAAAGCCTCGGCCTGTGCTGTTAACTGGGCACTCCTGAAAGCAGCGTTTTGCAGCCCTGAAAGGAAGATCAAACGTACATAGCACATTCCCTCAAGTAAGAAACTGTCATACGGCTTCCTTCTTTCAGGGGAAAAAATACCCATACCAACCATCAACTCTCTGTGCTAGTCTGCGTCAAGATATATTGAACTAAGTTAGCAGCCCAAATGAAATCGAAAATAAAAGTGGACCATGAACACGTGCATAAAATCCGTTTCAGTGACGTTCTGGTTCTTGTTTCACAAAGCAACAGCAACCAGAATATTCAAAGCTGAGGCTGACATATGGTTTCCTGATTCAAGTCACACAACCTTATTATGCAGAAATTTAGTTTCTTTTCTAATTAATTCCAGTTTTACTTTTTCTTTAAAAAATAGTGGCTCTAAAACAAATATTTACTTGAGAGACCTGAACAGCTTTTACCAGCCAGTTAAGGTGTACTAGGAAACACATGATGTTGCCAATAGACTAAAGTGTCTCCAGAGGAGTTAGGTAAATATTTAGATAGGTGCTTACAACATGCATGAAAAACCACTGGTAAAATTCTTTAACAACAAGGGTTAATGAAAGCCTTAAGAGTTTTCCTATTCATTTGCTGAAGAAATAGATTGGGATGGGTGGAGAGAGAAAATAGGTATCAAAATAAATGACAAGTTAAAAAGCATTCGCTCTGAATCAGGCAAAACAGGGACTTGAAGAGGAATAAGCTATCCTGGTATAAGGCCCCTTTATCCTGGTATAATTGTGTGTAGACCAGCCCTAAACTTCTATCATTAACCACCTTACAGGCCATTAATATTGAGCTGTAAAGCAACATCAAACCGGATCACAAACGTATGTATACTGATTAGCTGCATCTGAGTTCTGTGACAGTTATTAGTAATAGTTTTTCAGGACCTCAAACTTAATCTCCTCCATTAGTTTACCAAAAAAAAAAAAAAATTGGATAGTCTTCGAAATTCATGGCCACAATTAGGACGTTTTCCAGAGGCAAAAACATTCAGAATGTTGTATAACAAATTCGCACACTGTCTTCTAGTTTCATGGAATACCCAGACTTATCTCTTGTTGTGAAGATGGAATTCTTCTTGTTCCTTAACCAGACTTTATTTCTTATTAATTATTATAATTATTAATTATTATTATTATTATTATCTCCCTATTCTTGCAACTTGTTGGATCAGGACCTACATTTCTGCTTTTCGTCTGGAATGTGGCAGAATTAGACTTTAACAAGGGCTAATTATCGTTACCAAAAATCTATTATGCATATTCAGAAAGCTTTTTGGCAAACTTACTATCAGGAATATTACATTTTTGATAGATATTTATTTTAATTTCCCAAATGTGCCGACCCCAAACTCTGGGTGCACAGGCAAACATCAGTGTAAATCACCATTCTAAACCCTAAAAACAACTGTAGAAAACCCCTCTCCCAATACCACTGGTATAACGCATATGCACTATAGACAGAGAGCGTCACATAATTCCATACTTAAAATTTTAAAACACACGTCGGGTGGTTTAAAAATGCGTTTAATTTACATTCAGACCAGATGTGAAAATGTGTTGAGCACCGACACTTTCCCTTCGCTACAGTGGGGACGGCAGGTTCTCCTGACCTCTCGGGAGTTGGCTCTGGGACAATTTAGAAGCGCACATTGTACCAAAGCAAACTGGACTTGAGAAGATGTGCTTTCAGGCTGACAATTAACTTGTATAGCTTCAGCACAGAGCAGATTGTTCAGCTGAATTGCACCCTTTACAGCATTGAAAATAAGGCAGTGCATGCACCGTACAACTGCTGGTTATGCTTCAGATCTGCCCAGCTCACAGGCCTCCAAACCGTGGGGCGTGCCCCCTACATGGGCCCTGAGGAACGTTCGCGGGGGCATGGCAACTCTGGGCCAGCCCCCACGGGGTAGGAGGGAGTGCCACCCAGCCCTGCTCCGCTCCCAGCTCCGGCCCCACCTCCCGACCCCGCGCCTGGCCCTATCCCCAGCCTCAGCTCTGCATCGAGCAGAGGGCCTGCTCCCACCCGAAGCCTCGGCCCCTAACTGCGGCTCCATCCCCGGCCCCGCTCCCAGACCCAGGGCCATGCTTAGGCATACGCAGCATACACAGCTGCAAAAGGCACCCGAAAATTTGGGGCACGCCGGGGCTGCGGGGCCCTGGCCAGTTCCGCTTGTGCTGTGCTCTGACTCCGCTGTCCCACCCAGAGGCAGGCTGGCCGGGGCTGTGTGCAGTTTGCACCCGGAGTCTTCCTCGCTGCACATGTGTAGAATGAATCAGGACAACAATCAGCAGCAGGGGTGGGAAATTAAAAAAAAAGGGTGGGGAGGGACACACGTGAAAGAAGCCCCCTGGCCCTTCCCTCTTGCACACTGCTCACTCCCTTCAGCTCACCCACTGGCCGGAGGGCTTCTCTCTGGGAGATCAACAAGGTAGGAGCTGGTATGGAGCTGTGGGTGCCCGGAGGGAGCCGTGCGTGCTGGAGACAGGAATCTCCTCTCAAAGCTGGGTGTGTGGCGGGGGCCCCTGGCCAGAGCTTCCATCACCCCCCCATGCAGATTAATACACAGGCCAATGGGGCACGTGCCCAGAGCCGCCCTCCCCTCCCCCGTGGCCAATATGGGACCCCCCAGAAAAATGGGCACCCAAGCAGACAGCCCAAGCCACGGGGTGGAAGAAGCCCCGAGCTCACCTGGGTGCCCCAGCAGAAGCCACGCCGGGAAGGATGGCGCCAGGAGGGTTCTGAGGGTCCACAGGTGGTGGGGGGTGGTGGTGGCTGTGTCCCCTCGACACACTGGGGTCAGCGGCACCGGCCACCTTCAGTGGAGCCCCCACCATTCCCTCCCCCGTCCCTCAATATCCCTCCTCAGGGCA